TGATATCTCACCTGAAAAGATAAATGAGATAGCAAATAATTTGGTTAATATTGCTCCAAATGTTATTGCTGGTGCCTCGCGTCTTACATATCTTCGAAAAGAATTAGAAACTCTGGGTGTTGATAGTCCTACACTAGAATCAATAAGCATACCTCAGATTACCAAAGAATCACAGAAAAAATAGAATGAGCGTTATGAACTTAATAAAGACAAAGGTATAGATTGTTCCGAATTCTTTTACTCAGAGAATGTTCAGGATAGACTTAGTAATTGTGATATTATCAAACCTCCTTCCATGCAGAATTTGATTGATGTAATGATAATGTTATCTATGAGACCAGCAGATGTTGCAACTCTTTGTATTAATCACTATCCACCGAGTTATGAAAAATAGTATGATCCTAAATATTCTTGATATTACACTGACTACACCAAAAGTCAAATTGATGAATCTTTACCATTCTTTTCAATGGAAAAGGATCCAAAAAGAGCAATAGAACTACTCACCTAGATCCAGAAGGCAATTTCAAAGACTTTTCCATTTCTGTTAAAAGATGAAAATGATTATGTAAAAGTTTATCTACTTAATTGATTCTTGATTTCCCATGATATTATCTCATATCAATTAAGAAAATTTGGTGCTGATCATGTATCAAGAGCTCATGGTAGTAAAAATGATTCTTGTCATCAAAAATATTGAGATCTAGCAATGTGTCATAAAAAAGGATATAGAGCTACAGCATGATATTATGGTGTAATAAATGACAGGCCAATTATTCCAGCACCTAGGCCAATCACCCCTATGATTAAACAAAAAAATAGTGAAGTCGAGAATATTATTGATCTATACAGAGAAATTTCTGATGATGAGAACTAATCGCTTAAAGGCCTTGAAACTATATGCTTTTTTACTTTTATCGAACCTATAATAAATTCTTCATCACTAAATGATTCAAAGCCAGATCCAGACTCAGATATGGTATTTTTGGAAACAATCTTCTTACATTGTCTTTTAACTTTACATGGAATGCGATTATACTGAGAGATATTGGGGTTTGTTATTGAGTTTATAATATCTTGATGAATCTCAGATTTCACTATCTTTAATAATTGATGAATTGAAATCTGAATTTTTTTACCCGATACTTGCTTAACAATACCAGATATCACACTATTATTCTGAGATTCGTGGAAACTCTCAATAACCTCCGCTTCCAATTTTTTAGCAAATTCTTCAGTTATAGTTGACCAGTTAGTATCTGAATTGATAGTAGATTTAGTCATTGTTGATATCATAATATTATTTATTAATATGCTGAAAAAAATACATTATTGAATATATATTATTAATATAGAACCATAATGATAACTTTATCTTGCGAAATCAATAAAGTACTAGTTACACTTAAAATTAATTATCCAAATATTAGCTGTTTTTTTTGATTAAAGATATATAATATATAATTTAAGAATGGTGCAACTATTACGGAGCAATGATCCAAAGGGTCTAAATATTTTTGATTTACCTGAATTACTAGAACAGATCTTATATTTTTTAGAAATTGATCGATTCCTCTATCCCGTTTGTTTGTTAATCAGTTTTGATATCACTGTGGTGCTCCTATTCTATGGCGTCGCATTGAGTTTTTTAATGAAGATTATCAGAAAGATCCATATGGTCGAAAGAAATCTCAGACTATTTATTGGCAATTATTAAAATTCAAAAAAGTTATGTGTGGAAAGACAAAACCTCTCTATTGTTCAATAATGTTATATCTCAGATTGGAAGATTTAAAAATCTCTGATATATTGATTAGTATGATTTTATGCTCGTGTCCAGATATACATACTCTTATTCTTGACTAAAATAATGGTTTCACTAACATATCAATTATAGAAATTGCAAGATATTGTCCAAAACTATAGCATCTGAGTCTTAATTCATGTATATGTCTTACTAATCAATGTATCACTAAAATTACTCACTTGTACCCAAAACTTAAACATCTTGAGCTTGGCTATTATTCGATTGATAATAAAGCTGTCGAGAAAATATCCCACAACTATACTAATTTGAAATATCTTAGTTTGAAGGGATGTAAAGGAATTAGTGAAGAAGTGATGAAAAAACTTAATCCTAAAATTAAAATTGAATACCCTAATTATTCAGATAAAACAGATCTTATTTCTGCGCTCAGTAATTGTATCAGAGAGATTGGCGGGATTAATCTTAATCATTCATGGTTTACAAATAATTTTATGTAGTAGCAGAGAATAGGTAATTATTTACCGAGTTATTTTTTCAGTTATAATATATATCATTAAATAATATTGCAAGATGTGTATCATTCTAACTATAGAAGAATAGAGTGAATAATCAGGTATTCGACAATCTCCGGCTAATTTCAGACAAAGAATTTTTATTTGCTGTGATGTATATATATCTGTGATAATTTTCCTTGTTTTACTTTTGATTCTAGACATGGGTACTGATTGATGCTAGCTGTTTTTTTGACAAAAATTTCATGTAATTATTGAAGAGAGACATTCAGAAATAATGATAGTTCCTCACCAGTAAACCAAAATTTCTTTACCCCACTATCGATGAATTTCTGTATTAATACACTTGGAACATCTTCTAAGAAACCATGAAATTCTTCAAACTTTCGGAGGTACACTCTTGCATTTTTATCGGCTTCTTCTGCCATTTCTTGATTAGTATAACCGTCAATATCAAGTTCTTCCTGAATTGTCGCTATATCATCTTCTAAGCATAAAAGCAAATCAAATAATCTAATTGGTTTATCTGAAGAGGCTTTATCCCTTCTAAGTTCTGCTTCTAAAATGGGATTGATATCTATACCAAGTTTCATCTGTATAGGTATTAAATCCCTCACCAATTCTAACAGCAATTCATATGAATCGGCAAGTTTTTTCGCTTTCTTGCTTTCCGACACTGCCATTTGATTTATATTATTGTTAATACCAAGTTTTTTCTGAATAGCTGTTATATCTTTTTTCTTATATAAAAGCACCTCGTATAATTGAGGAAATTTTTCATTTGGATCAGTTTTATTATTAGTATTACTCGTCATGATTGCTATAATATGATAATATAATTAATGCAGAAAATAACGCATAAATATATAAATTAAGTGAATATAGTAAATTCAATCTGTAATTAATTATAACCACATCGTAACTGAGAAATCACATTATAATGGGCCTCAGGGGACGATGTCATATTTAATTGATCACATATGATAATTGCTTTTTCCAATAATAAATTTTTGTGCATGATAATAATCGTCATCCGAGATATACAAACCCGAAATTGTAAATCATTGCTATGTATGTCTATTGCTGGCATGTCGATCATATAACGCGTATTGAAAAAAGGCACGCTTGTAAGATGTGCAAGAGACTAAGCTAATTCGTCGTTGTTTTGTGAAATTAATGCTAATCTTTGCTTTTCAGCTGAAATCATCTACGATTACCTGTAAAAATTAAGTGATTCCGATCCAAAGCAATTAATTTATCAATGAACGGATCACCAAATCCGAAATTAGTTTTCATAATATCTGAAATTGGTTTTATTAATGGCGAGAAATATACTATATAAAAACAAATTATACTTAGCTTTCGGGATTTACTTATTAAGCCATCTAATATATCGATATGGCCAGCGAGACTTCCCCCGCTCCCTCAGAACATTTTACAGATAATAATGAGGCCCAATTCGAAACCACAGATTCGGATTAAAAATAAATGTAATCCCTGATGGTACTCCGAAAACTAGAGAGCCCAAAAGATTTTTCACCTTTTTAGCAAGATAGGGATGGATAAAATAGGACAAGTAAAATCCTTCACCGCATTGATGATTTCGAAATTAACTGTTCGAAATGCCTAACCTATAATCAGACTTTTATTGTATCATGGCTACATATTTTAATAAAGTTTCGATCTAACTATGTGTTCAGATGCAGGTATTTGATTCTCGAGTATAATTCTTGAAAAGAGGCTTTGCTTCGATGCTTTGCATCATCGGTCAACTGGTGTTAGTTATATGAGATTAGGTAATATATATCAGAAAAATTGACAGTAAATATTTTCGCCCCATACAGTATAAAAAATCATTGCACTTATCATCTGTCTATGATTGGCATACCTTTTGTGCAATCTAACTTCACAAAATGAACGAACTAGGATTTGTTCACCTAAAGCAAATTCATCAATGTTAGGATATTTATGAATCGCAACATCATCAGCAAGAATTACCTCTTTAAAATAGGTATCGATATAACGTGAATGAAAGGACACAGTGTAGTTCTGATGTTCTTTGAGAATATTAGCCTCGACAAGTTTATGAATCACGTCGAGAGGTATAATAGTTGTAGCTTTCTCGATGTCAATACGATCTACTTCGGTGAGCTTTATGAAAAATTCATGGTTTGCAGGAAGTTTCACTGTGGCCAAATCTCTCTTGATCTGCGTGAACGTTTGCTCCTTGAATTCTGATAAAAGTAGGAGCCAGACGAAAACGAGTTCTTTACGTTAAGGAACAAAAATTGCAACAAATTACATACTTTCAACTAAATTTTTAGGATC